GAAGTAAATAGACCTTTAGTATGAGGTTTAACTTTATCTGGCTAGACATTAGGCTGTGTTTACCGTTTGCTGTAGTTGTCAGTTGCTCTGATGTTCTTGTTTTTTTTTTCCCTGTTGTGTTTGGCTTTCCTAGACACTTCTTAAATCAGATCTGACACTTGGAGTTCTTTCTGTTTTAATCTCGTTATATAGAGCCCTATCGATACGGTGGTAAGGTATGGACAAAGGGGAATCCTAGTATAGTCCCATGATTAAGTCTCAATGTTTTAGTGAGCCTGTGCCCCTGGACAGTGACCGTACAAGTGCTTCTCAGGTTTTCCCCTCACTTTATTGAGACAGGAGCCTAGATGAGGCTGGTGTTGAATGTTTCACTACTGCAGGTCAGTTCTCTTGAGGACTGACTTTGTCAGGGAGAACAGAATCCTCTGGAAAATTTTCAAAATGGCTGCTTTTCTTCTTCCCGCTACTGGAAGGAAGCACAAGATTTTCTCTGATGGTCACACTGAGGACCTGGTAGGGTTCCTGCAGGTAAAACTCAAAACTCTGTGGGTCCCCCTAAGATTGAGCTCCCTTGGCCTTTTTAACCCTGAAGTTTGTCCACATCAGGCCTCCAGCAATTCATCAATTGCATTTTAAGTTTTCCTACACTGATATTGATCCTAGAGATGGTTTCTGTTCCTAGATTTTTGCTCTGGTAGGATTCTCTGTAGGTGCTTATGTGTCTCTCCAGTTTTGAGGCAGCAATTTGCCCTATGACCTCTATTTTCTGAGTTCATTATGTTCAGATTTTTCTTGTGAAGATGGGAGTGACAATTTCCAAAGTGCTTATATTAATATATTGGACCAGAAACTTGCAGTCTTCCGTTGTGTTTTGTGTCCTTACTGTGGTCTTTATTTTCATGTTACTTTCTTTGTACTAATCATTTATGCTGCTTTTGTTTTTCCAGTTTCCCAAATTTATATATTTAGCCTACCGTTAATGATTTTTTCTTTTCTGGGTATAAGCAATGTATCTTCCCTTTCTGGGCATGAAGGTCAGTGGAGCCCTTTGACTCCTGTACCTCTAAGTTGGGACTTGTTGAAGTCGACAAGCATGTGAAATGTATATGACTGTTTGCAAAATCATAATGATCTACTTCCAAGTGTTTAGAATTGAAAGTGTGGTCTTTTCTTCCCTTACTAAGCCAGGTTTCACGAGCTAATATTTTCTAAAATTATTTTGCAAGCTGCACTAAATTACTAAAGATAAATATGCTTGTGTTACTTGCTCCTTACTGTCTTACTGTGTGCGCTTTTTGTAGAACATATCATCACTTAACATTTTATATGTATGTGTGTCTGTATGTGTATATATAATATATATGCATATATATAGTGGCAGAGTGGTTAAGAGTTCAGCTGTTAACCAAAAGATCAGCAGTTTGAATCCACCAGCTGCTCCTTAGAAACCCTATGGGGCAGTTCTACTCTGTCGTATAGGGTTGCTATGAGTTAGAATTGACTCGACAACAACAGGTTTTTGTTTTTATGTGTATGTATATATATTTAAATTTGCTATCCACATGCAAAGAACTTAAACAATCTATGTTCATTTGGATATCTCTATTTTGTTTACTGCTGTATCTGCTTTGCCAGCACGAAGTAGGCTCTGTGTCAGTATTGCCTAAATCAATTTTAATAAATGAAGGTAGCCACAGTTAAGAGTCTGAAGAGAAGAAGTCTTGTCTGAGACACAAGACTTTGACAGAAGTAGCTCCTAGTTTTGTGAATTGAACAGGATATTTCCATTGTCTCCTCTTCCTAGTGTCCAGAACGGCTGTAGATCATGCATGGTGTTATTGGAGAATAACAGCCAGAGTAACAATGAAACTACATGCATATGAACAGAAATGTAGTTGTTAGGAATTTAGACTTCAAAGACAAATTGACCTGCATTCTGACCCTGGCTCAGCAACATTCCATGTGGGCAACATTGAGTATGTGATTAATTGATTATCTCTAAGGATTTCATTTTATTTGAATCCACAATCAACACCCGTGGAAGCAACAGTCAAGAAATCAAAAGATGCATTGCATTGGGCAAATCTGCAAAAAAACCTCTTTCAGGTGTTGAAAAGCAAAGATGTCACCTTGACGACTAAGGTGCAACTGACCCAAGCCATGATGTTTTCAGTTGCCCCATATGCATGCGAAAGCTGGTTGATGAATACGGTAGAGCAAAGAAAAATTGATACCTTTGAATTGTGGTGTTGGTGAAGAATATTGAGTATAGCATAGATTGCTAAAAGAATGAACAAATCTGTCTTGGAAGAAGTACAATCAGAATGCTCCTTAGAAGCAAGGATGGTGAGACTACGTCTTACATACTTTGGACATGTTATCAGTAGGGATCAGTCCCTGGAGAAGAATATCATGCTTGGTAAAGTGGAGGGTCAGCCAAAAAGAAGGAGACCCTCAGCGAGATGGATTGACACGGTGGCTGCAACAGTGGGCTCAAGCATAGCAACAATTGTGAGGATGGCGCAGGACTGGGCAGTGTTTCATTCTGTTGTACGTAGGGTCGCAATGAGTCAGAACCTACTCGACGGCACCTAGCAACAACTTTACACCAAGGCTTTGAACCTGTTTATGCTGGATTTAATAATGGCTGAGGAAGTGAAACTGAAACAGAAATTTTTAAAACTTTTTGAACTAGAATAATAGCCAGAACAAGAATAATTATGGGTTGAAATCCTGGTAGAAACTTAATCTCCCTTTTAGAAAACAGGGGCAGTGGTTATGTTGTTTAGGAACCACATATTTTGCCCTTCAGATTTTGAGCAGATTTGGAAGCAGCGGTGCTAAGCTCAAAGATGACAGCCGACCACAGCACTCTATATGGGTCACTCTCCACACTTCTGCCAGTAATCCAGTCTTCTCCATCAGGCAGCTGAAAGGGTATACTATGCCTCCTCAGTCTCCCATTCCAGGGCTTGGATCTGTAAGTTTTCCCATCCGATTATCAGTCCGGTTCACCAAAATTTTAAAAATTCAGGTCTGCGCTGGTTTTGCTTTCTCAGTCATTACAGGATTGGTTCAAACTTGTTCAAAGTCCTGCTTTACTCAGCTATGAATTGTTTGAAATAATACTCGCTTAGGAGAGTGATAAGATATAAATGAGCTGTAGCGTGTTGGAAACCTTTTTGCAAAACTTCGCAAATCGTAGTTGCTCAATACATGAAACATTTTATTATTATTATATAATTCATTTCAAAACCAGTAGCTGCTCAACTGGAGATAGATGTGGCAGTCTGCTTCTGTAAAGATTTACAGCCTTGGAAACCCCATGGGGTTGCTATGAATTGGAATCGACTCCACGGGTGTGGGTTTTTTTTTTTTTATTGTATAATTAAAATTAGGGTTTTTGATGACTTTAGAGTATGTAACGTGGCCCACTGCAGTAGAGGATACTTTTGAATTTTGGCTCTAGCTCAGTTTATTGTGACACCATCATACCAGGATTGATTAGAGATGACATAGACAGCTCACTTCACACCTTTCCTGATAAGAGGAGTCTTCTTACTCTAAAGCTGTTGTTTTACCACTCAAAGTGTAGTTTAGCAGCTTTTTCTCTCCTCACTACATAAGGAAGACAATGGATTGGTGCTATTTTACAGAGATCACTCTTACAGAGCAGGGAATTCAACTGGCCAGGGTTCAGGGGATCATGGTTGTGTGCCTTCCAGGGGCTGCAAATGTGAGAGAGTTTTGGAATGGAGCCCCTAAAGGGCTAGAGTGTAAATCTCTGTTTCCTAGGCTTCACAGGCAATTTAACAGGTTAATCATCAGAACTTCAACTTATAAAATTAATTTTTTTGTAGTAAAAATTATATGTAACAATATTTCCCAGTTCAACAATGTTTACATGTGTAACTTGGTGACATTGATTGGAGCCCTGGTGGCACAGTGGTTAAGAGCTCAGCTGTCAACCAGAAGGTCAGCAGTTCAAATCTACCAGTTGCTTCTTGGCAACCCAGTGGGAGCAGTTCTCTGTCCTGTAGAGTCACTATAAGTGAGAATCGACTCTATGGCAGTGGGTTTGGTTGTTTTGTTTTTGGTTTTACGTGTATAACTTGGTGACATTGATTAGGTTTATCATGTTTAGTCATTACAAAATGAGAATCGTAACCCTCTTCAGTCAGCAAGGGCATGCTGTTCTTGTTTCTGCAGTGGTCAGGCTCTTTGTCTTAACATTAGACTGTGTTTGTGTGAGGATGTATGTGTATATGTTTGTTGAGGGGAGCAGTCACTAATAATTGGTGTAAAGTGTCAGATCTCAAAATTTTCTCTCACCTGAGCTCTAACTTTATTACCTTTGCTTATCTTATTGAATGGGACAGAGAGGATGACAGAACAGCTGATTTTTTTGAAAAACAGGTGACTGACTTGTAAAAACTCATTATTCTCTAAAAGAATATTTTTTCAGCAGATGGACCTGTCACCTCCTGATCTCATACAGTTGTTCAAGAAAATATGACTAGCTCAGGGCCTTGGGTTGCCAATTTGTGTGAGCCCCTGGTCCTCCCATGGTTAATACCTCATGCTGCCTTCACCCTGTGCTTTATGTTTTGATGAGTGTTCTGGTGGGTCTTATGGACGGAGTTCAGATTGTTCATAAGGAAGTGATGATCTGAATTAGACCATTTCTCCAGTTTCTGCTGTTTCCTAACTGTTCTAGACCATAAAGGCAGGACAAGACTGCAGTTGGTCACAGTCAAACTGTGGAGAGATTATTTCAGTGTGTTGGAAGTCTGTGAGACAGGATGCAATCGGTGAGGAAGTGAATGGAGTTAGTGAAGGGACAAGGCTGATGGCTATACTGTTGAGTAGACCTTGGTAGAACATAGAACCTTGTCAAGTCCCTATGTATTGTCAGTTCTCCAGGAGTGTCAGCCTCACCCTTCCCATACACATTGAAGTACATGGCACCTTGCTTATCCACAATGTGTGGGATGTTTTAGGACTCAGTATTCGTTGAGGATGTGGCTGTGGTCTTTAGCCAGGAAGAGTGGACTTTGCTGGATCTTGCTCAGAGGAAACTCTACAGAGATGTGATGATGGAAAACTTCAGAAACCTGGCTTCAGTAGGTAAGAATGGCATTCTTTTTTTTTTTAATCCTTCAGTGAAAAAAAATACTTATTGACTTTGCTCTAGTGTTTGGGCTAAGGAATGGGAATAAATTGTTAAATAAAACAGGCATGATCTCTTGGTCTATGGACCTTACATATCCTGGCTTCTCTATGGACATAAACCTCTATGTATTAAAGTGAGTTTTCATTGCTCTTGTGATTAAAAGCCCTGAGGTTCTTTAAGTGTTATAAGTGTAAGCATTGGCTTCAGGGGTCACTTTGGGGGCACTGAGAGATTTGTGTTTTGGGACCTTATAGAGTTTTACTGTATTTATTGCAAGTTTGACATGATTATTTTGCTACAAATAAACTCACACCTGTCCATTTTCAGAGACCGAAGAGCAGAGTATTAGTTCAGTGTCAGGGCGATGTTCATTGCTCTGCACTGTCATTCATCATGCACTACATCTCTTCATGAGCACCATGTCATTGTATCCATTTTTTTCCCCAAAGAAGCAAGAACAGTGGACATAGGACTCATCCAAGGCCACTGTGTGGGGGCGCACCAAGAAAGCAAGTATTTTTTGAAGGACCAGCCCTGCACAGAGGGAATTACATTTGAATAAGTCAGCTAGAAAACGTCTCTTTTGGGTTGAGGACACAACTTCACAGAGACCTAATCTTTTCTAACTTTAGCAATCCTGTCACACCTGTAGTCATGTAGACCCTTTTCCTCTTTTAATATTTCATGTAAATTGTGTTTAGTATCTTTTTACTTCTCGTAATTGTACCTATTTATGTCATTGTCACTCTCAATCCTCATGTATTTTCTAGTAAATTGCTTTATAACCATTGCCAAAGTGCTGAAATAGCAAAATGTGGCTGAGTGTTTCTTTATTCACAGCAGCCTTTTTTGCCCTAATAATTCGTCTTTCCTTTTTATTTCATATTGTGGATCTCAACTTGAATTATTGAGTCAGTCTCTCGAAACCTTATTGAAGGGGAAAAGTTATCCAGTGAACACATAATGGTGCGATTTATGAAGAATAACACCTGGTTCTCCATGTTAGGAGAAATCTCCGAATCGCATGGCAGTAAAGATCAGCATAAGAACCAGAGGAGATATTTGAGGTGAGTGGCATTCGTACAAGAAAAAATAGTGCCTCTTGAGAAAGTCTTAAGGTGTTCTGACATTATATGCTTACGCGTATACACGTATAGATGTTTACGTGTATAATGCTTGGTGTCTCAGTTATCTAGTACTGCCATAACAAATACAAGTGGGTGGCTTTAACCAAGTGGATGGCTGTAACAACTATTTTCTCAGTTCAGGAGGCTAGAAGTCTGAATAAAGGGTGCTAACTCTAGGAGAAGGCTTTCCCTCTTGGCTCTGGAGGAAGGTCCCTGTCTCTTCTGAGCTTCTGTTCATGGGGCTTTGCATGTGTCTTCCCCTGTCTCTGCTTGTTCACTTGCTTTTTTAATCTCTATCTCAAAAGAGAATGACTCAAGATACACCCTAATCCTACCTCATAAACATAACAGACGTAACCTAATTCTTACTAACATAACTTAATTTTGCCTTACTAATGTAATGAAGACTACCCATTCTACATGGGATTATAACCACAGGCATATAGATTAAGATTTACAACACACATTTTTAGGGGCCATAATTCAATCTGTAACACTTGGTAAAGTAGAAGGTCATCAAAAAAGAGAAAGACCATCAAGGAGATGAATTGAAACAGTGGCGGCAACAATGAGGTCATAAATAGCAATGATTGTGAGGATGGCAGAGGACCAGGTAATGTTTTATTCTGTTGTACATGGGGTTGGTATGTGTCGGAAACAACTCCATGGCACCTAACAATATATTTAAACCTAGCAGTAAAATTATGTGTCCAGAGAGTTTTCATAAAAGTGAGTAAATGTGTTTCAGACATATTTCACTTGGAAGCAATTGTAAGAAAACCACGTATTTTAGAACAACAGTGACAGTAATGGAAGTATTTCTGCTAGATGAATTAATCTATGCAACATGTGAGACAAATCAGGACAAAAACCATGCACATTCATTGTGTTTGGTAGTGGTGAAATGGGAACAAATTTATTTCCAATAGCATGTTGCCCATTTTTAACAAGTCATACAGTAGAGAACCTCTGTGAAAGTAATGAAGCCCATCAGTGTGGGAAAACCTTCAGCCGGAATCCAAACCTTACTGTGCTAAAAAGAAATTCTCCAGAAGTAAATCCTTTTGAATACTGTGAGTGTGGAAAAGCCTTCATGGATCACTCATCACATAAGCATCATACCAGATCTCACACTGGATGCAGTACTTGTCAGTGTAAGAAAAGTGGAGAAGTCTGCAGTTGTCCTCACGTGACCACTCCTGTGCTTTTACTGGAAAGAAACTCCATAAATGTAAGGTATGTGAGAAGGACTTCATTTGTATCTCAACTTTTAAGAGTTCTGTGACAACACTCACTGGTGAGAAACGCTATGAATGTAATGAATGTGGGAAACGTTTCTGTAGTTTTTCATCCTTTTGGACACATAGGAGAGGTTGTAAGCATGAATGTAAAGAATGTTATAAAACCTATAGTCTTTCATCTCTCAGTTTACATAAAATTCATAACAGAGACAAGACTTATGAATGTAAGGAACTTGGGAAAACCTTTAGTGAAGCTTCCTCTCTCAGAATATAAGAACTCACAGTGGAAACAGGCCTTATGAATGTAAGGAATGTGGGAAAGCCTTTAGTCAGTCATCACACCTCACTGAACATGTAAGAACTCACAGTGGAGAGAAGCCTAATGAATGTAAGGAATGTGGGAAAGCCTTTAGTCAGTCATCACACCTCACTACCCATATAAGAACTCACAGTGGGCAGAGGCCTTATGAATGTAAAGAATGTGGGAAAGCCTTTAGTCAGGCTTCATCCCTAACTATACATATAAGAACTCACAGTGCAGTTAGGCCTTATGAATGTAAGCAATGTGGGAAAGTCTTTAGGCAATCCGCAAACCTCACTACACATAAAAGAATTCATCGTGGAGAGTGGCCTTACGAATGTAAGGAATGTGGAAAAGCCTTTAGTCATTCCTCAAACCTTACTACACATATAAGAACTCACCGTGGAGAGAGACCTTATGAATGTAAGGAATGTGGGAAAGCCTTTAGTCAATCCTCAGCCCTGACTACACATATAAGAACTCACAGTGGAGACAGACCTTATGAATGTAAAGAATGTGGGAAAGCCTTTAGTCATTCGTCAGCCCTAACTATACATATAAGAACTCACACTGGAGAGAGGCCCTATGAATGTAAGCAGTGTGGGAGAGCCTTTATTCAGGCCTCATCCCTCACTACACATATAAGAACTCACAGTTGAGTGAGGCCTTATGAATGTAAGGAATGTGGGAAAGTCTTTAGTCAAGCCCTACGCCTCACTCAACATATAAGAACTCATAGTGGAGAGAGGCCTTACAAATGTAAGGAATGTGGGAAAGCTTTTAGTCAGGTTTCATCCCTCACACAGCATATAAGAACTCACAGTGGGGTTAGGCCTTATGAATGTAAGGAATGTGGGAAAGCCTTTAGTGAAGCTTCAACTCTCACTAAACATAAAAGAACTCATAGTGGTCTTAGGCCATATGAATGTAAGCAATGTGGGAAAGCCTTTATTCAGATCTCATCCCTCACTAAACATATAAGAATTCACAGTGGAGTTAGACCTTATAAATGTTAGGAATGTGGAAAAGCCTTTAGGAAGTCTTCTTGCCTCATTTCACATACAAGAACTCACAGTGGAGAGAAGCTCTATGAATGTAAGGAATGTGGGAAAGCTTTTAATTGTTCCTCAAACCTCACTTCACATCTAAGAACTCACAGTGGAGAAAAGCCTTATGAATGTAAGGAATGTGGGAAAGCTTTTAGTCGTTCTTCACACCTCACTATACATATAAAAACTCACAACGGAGAGAGGCCTTATGAATGTAAGCAATGTGGGAAAGCCTTTCGTGATTCTTCAACCCTCACTACACATATAAGAACACACAGTGGAGACAGGCCTTACAAATGTAAGGAATGTGGGAAAGCCTTTAGTCGTTCTTCACACCTCAGTAGTCATAGAAGAACTCACAGCAGAGTCCTTATGAGCATAAGGAATGTGGGAAAACCTTTATTCTTTCCTCACACCTCACTACACGACATACAACTCAGTGCAGAGACTGCTGTATGTCAAAAGTGGGGTGTATCATTCTTCTTGCTATAATTTCAAACATCGAATTCCTGTAAGTCTGCAATTAAAGAGCAAAGTTTCTCGTGTAAGAAAGTACTAATGCAAAGAAGGAGTCGTTAGAGCTACTGTCTGCTTTTGGGAGCAATGACAGTTTCGTTGTAACTATGGGGCTATCGTCAGTGTGTTGCTTTCCAAGTCCAAGTTAAATTTTATCTTCATGTCTTTGGCTGTTGTAAATAAGGCTGTAGGGATTAGCCTTGAGCAAATGTGGTTGTATATTTTTTCATGTTTTATTGATGTTATTTTGCAGACAATAAAATAATACTGATCTTGTATTTGGGTTGAGTGTTTTGTTTCTGTATTTATTACTTTTCTATTCTTTCTTATTGTAAAGTTTATTGTTTAACTCTTTATAATTAGTAAGTTTCTCATAAAAAAAACTCCGCTTCCATCAAGTCGATTCCAAGTCATAGTGACCCTATAGGACAGAGTAGAATTGCCATATAGGATTTCCAAAGAGCAGCTGGTGGATTCGAACTGCTAGCCTTTTGGTTAGCAGCCAAGCTCTTAATCACTGTGCCACCAGGGCTCCAAGTTTATTCTAGGACGATAGTTTGTGATGGAAAATATTCTGTTTTTTATTGTACTTTGGCATACTAATTTTCGTTCCCATTTATAATTATTACCTATGGTATTTATCCCCCATGCATCTGTCATCTTGTCGTACTGTGGGAGCTTGTGTGTTGCTGTGATGCTGGAAGCTATGCCACTGGTATTCAAATACCAGCAAAGTCACCCATGGCAGACAGGTTTCAGCTGAGCTTCCAGACTAAGACAATCTAGACAGAAGGGCCTGGCAGTCTACTTGTGAAAAAAATTAGTGAAAACTTTCTGAATAGCAGCAGAACATTGTCTGATACAGTGCTGGAAGATGAGCCCTTCAGGTTGGAAGACACTCAAAAGGCAACTAGGGAAGAGCTGCTTTCTCAAAGTAGAATTAACCTTAATGACGTGGATGGAGTCAAGCTTTCATTCACCTCAGATGCATGTAAAAGCTGGACAATGAATAAAGAAGACCAAAGAGGAAGCCTTTGAGTTGTGGCATTGGAGAAGAATATTGAACATACCATGGACTACCAAAAGAATGAACGAATCTGTCTTGGAAATACCTTAGTAGCAAAGATGATGAGACTTCATCTCATATATTTTGGGCATGTCATCAGGAGGGACCAGTACCTGCAGAAGGACATCATGCTTGGTAAAGTAGAGGGTCAGCTAAAAAGAGGAAGACTCTCCAGGAGATGGATTGACACAGTGGCTGCAACAATTTGCTCAAGCATAACAACAATCATGAGGATGGCGCAAGACCAGGGAGTGTTTCATTCTGATGTACATAGAGTTGCTATGAGTCAGAACTGACTCAATGTCACTTAACAACAGCAGCATGATAATTATCATGGTGGTGTTTCCCAAACGGTGTTTTCTGTTCCAATAATTTCTTCTGTGTGTGTTAATCAGAATTCTGCAAAGAGTAGTTTTTTTTTCTTTATTTATTAAATGCTTTATTCTAGTATAGGCTACTACATACTACTTTTTTTTTTTTAATTGTCACAGATTTGGATATTAGGAGCTCCCTTAAGTAAGTTCCTGGTTTTTTTGACATGACCCCATTATAATTTGTACATTTCTTTTCGACGGTGTTTGAGGCTCATCTCGTCTTTTTCCTGCCCAAGCCCTGGAATCAAACTTTTTTCCAAGAAACTGTGTTCCTTTGATTGTTGTTGTTAGATGCCATCGAGTTGGTTCCGACTCATAGTGACCCTGTGTACTATAGAATGAAACACTGCCTGGTCCTGTGCCATCCTCACAATTCCTGACATACTTGAGCCC